TTGCAATCATTTAAGAAACATCCAGGAGTGCACTCGTAGCCTGTAAGTTTTTGGTGAAGCTGGTCAGTTATTTTCCCCTCACTATCCTGTTCCCTTTTCCCAGATTCCTCCAGGTTTCTCACCTTCCCCTCTTTGCTTATCAACACTGGTCAAGTTAATCCTTACCTACTCTACACTGACACCTACATGTGTCTACTTAGAGTGGATGTCCTCTGTTCTCTGCCGCCTTATTTCAAATAAGTGTTGACCAGTCGGGAAACACGTCTTGGACATTGATTTCTGGCCAGTACACTGTGTACTTGTACGCAGGAAAGCAAAAAGTATCTGATGAAAGCGGCCCTCCTCCGGAGTTTGCTGAGCCACAGGAAGCATAAGCGCTTGGATTTCTTAAGAAACAGCCAAGGGTTTGTGTCTGCTTCTCTAGATCCACCGCAGCCCCGGCCAGAGGCAGACATGGGGCGACAGGTTGAGAGAGCGTCCTAGAGGACTCACCGTTAGCCGGTGCAGGCTGCAAAATGTGCGCGGTGGCGGAGGGAGGCTCCTCCAGCCACGTGCACGGCGACAATCGCAGGTAGAGCTGGAATGAGGGCTGCCCCGAGGTCCCCACCTGCCGGCGCTTGCCACGCAGGAACAGGGCAAACGGAACCCCTAGGCATCTCGGTTTTAGAGCGGTCTTCAGGCCACAGCCCTCCGCGCCCAGGTCCTCCGAAGTTGGGACGCCGCCCACGTTTCTCCCGTGACGCGGGCGCGGGGGCTCGGGAGTTGTAGTCTCCGGCAGGGCGCGGGCGCCGGGGCCGGGGCTGCGCGGACTCCACGTCCCGGCGGGCGGCGCGGCGAGGCCTGGGGCCGCCAGGGGCGGGGCCGCTCGGCCCTTTAAACCTTTCAGGGCTGCTCCGAGGGCCGCAGCTGGAGTCGGCGCCACGAGGGGGCCGAGCAGGGCGCGGCGGCGGCTGGGCACTCCCGGGAGGTGCGTACTGGGCTCCTTCCTTTCCTCCGGGCTTCCAGGAATCACCTGGGGAGTATCGCGTCCCGGGTCCCCGGGGGTCACCGGCCGCAGGCTCCGGCCCCAGCCAGGGTCCCCGCGCCCAGGCGAGCGGGTGCCGGGCCGGGCTTCCCGCGTGAACCCGCCCCTCGCCCAGGGCGCCGATGGTCAGGTGGTTTTGCCTGCGCTCCGCCGCCTCGCCACCACTCCACTGGGCCCGCACCCAGCCTCTCCTTGGCGTGGCCTCATCGGTTGTCCAGCCCTTCTCCCAGCCCTGGTCCCTCAGAAGGAGGGTAACTCCCTTCCAGATGTTACGATTCGCCTACATCTCTCAGTACGCCGTTAGCATTTGGGTTCACCGCGGAAGCCCCCAATGCCCGTGGGTGTCTACGTTCTGGCATGGGGTCAGCCCAAACTTTGGACGCTCTGAGACCCCAACAGGAGCGCTGGATAAGGTGTTGACCTCCTTTTCCCTCCCCCTTCCTGGCCAGTCACCCACGACTGGACTTTGATCTGCCTCTCTCCACCAGGCCAGGGCAGCTGATGGTTGTGGCAGAAACATCTCAAGGTAGCTGGTCCGCCCCTACTTCCCCATCTACCTCTTGTCCTGCCCCCCCACACCACCACCACCCTGGCTCCCCTCCCTCATGACCGCCTGGATCCTCCTGCCTGTCAGCCTGTCAGCATTCTCCATCACTGGCATATGGACTGTGTGAGTAAATCGGGGTGCGGGGGTTGTGGGGGGACAACAGGAGCTTGTCACACACAAAGTCCCTTGTCCTGTTGTAGGCTCTAGGGTTGTACCCAGGGTCACTCTGGCTTTCTCCAAAGCCTGGCCTGGTGCCTGGGCACACAGCCCCTTGGGACAAGCTGGCACCACTGCTGTCCACCAGGGTGGCCCTGACAAATATACTTCTGGCCAGGGTAACTTCCAGAGGGCCTCTAGCTGGGGGCCATGCTGCAGATGCTGGTGTGGCATCATTCAGCAACAGTGAGGCTGAATAGGCCCCAGAAATCAAGGTGGAAGAAAAGGGTTATGGGGTGGATTAAGGGAGGGCTTGGGAAGGCTGAACCAGGAGAGGCATGAGGGCAGGATGACAGTTCTGTTCCCACAGGTATGCCATGGCTGTGATGAACCACCATGTATGCCCCGTGGAGAACTGGTATGAAGCACTGCAGACAACCTCACTCTAAAGCTTCCTTCATCTCTGTCCCCTCTTGGGCCCAGCCAGACTGCTGAGCCTCACTGCTTTTCTCTGAAATTGGTCCCTTGCATGGCTTCATGGCACCTACCCACTTCCCACCATCCTTTTGCCCCTTTGGCTACTGCTTCAGGCAGGCCCTGGGAAGTGGGATCTTTTGTCCCTGCAGGGGAAGTCTGGGAGAGAGTCCCCTATGAGGTCTGAGGCTATAGGCCAAGGGCCTAGGGGCAGTCCCTTCCCCCAGTCTACTCCCTGTCCCACCTACCAGGTCCTACAACGAGTCCTGCTCTCCTGACCCTGCTGAGCAAGGGGGCCCCAAGACTTGCTGCACCCTGGACGATGTCCCCCTCATCAGGTAAGGCCTGGACATTGGGCAGGTTAGGAACACTGGGCAGGTCAGGAAGATAAGATCCTCCCAGACAGCCCCTCAAGCAAAGAGCTGTCCTTCGGTCTCAGGAATAATAAATATCCTAAGGGCCACTTAATAACAATACTACTTGGCAGTTGCTATGGGGCAGGCACTCTGCTGAGTGCTTTATATGCATTGTCTCTTTTCATCCTCCCGGCAGGAGGTAGCTGTTGTCTGACCATTTTATAGGTGAGGAAACAGCTCAGTATCACTCATGCAGATCACACAGATAATAAGTGGAGGCACCCGGATTTAAGCTCAAGCCCTCAGATTGCCCAGCCCGTGTTCTAGCTCGAGGATAGCCAGACCACCTGCAGGGCTCAGCAGAGTCTCAGGGTTACCCGAACACTCCTGGGCGCTCCCTTCTCTCTGACACACGTGAGCTCTCCTTTGGCGGCTCAGCCTGGAACCAGTTGTTCATGAGGGACCCTGGCTTTTCACACAAATCAGTGTGAAAAGGTGGCCTACCTGCTAAAGAGCAGGTGCAGGTAAAGCAGGGGAGAGCCAGTGAGCCAGAATGGGGGCCCCCCGGGCCTCCTGCCCCCGCTTACTCTGTCCTTCCCCCTCCTCGCAGCAAGTGTGGCTCCTATCCCCCAGAAAGCTGCCTCTTCAGCCTCATTGGCAACATGGGTGCTTTCATGGGTGAGTTGTACCCTTAGCCCTGACCCTGCCTGTCCAGCCCAGTGCCTCCCATGCAGAAAGGCCCAGGAAGCCCTTGGTGCAGCCCTCCCCACCAAGGGCTAAGGCAATAGAGGCAACTTCTCTTCCCTTCCTTGAAGGTCAAAGGCTGACTCCCACACAGCCACCCTGCTGGCTGGAGCCTGAGGAAACCTAGTTCACCACCCGCCTGTCCATTCCCTTTCTGCCTCTCAGATGGGGCAGCAGCACCAGAGCGGTGGGGAGCGGGAAGCTGACAGGTTCATTGGGCGGGGCCAGGGCTGGAGGAACGCCCCAATCTTGCTCTCCTCCCCCAGTGGCCTTGATCTGCCTCCTGCGCTACGGGCAGCTCCTGGAGCACAGTCGGCACTCTTGGGTTAACACCACGGCGCTCATCACTGGCTGCACCAACGCTGCAGGCCTTTTGGTGGTCGGCAATTTTCAGGTGCTTCCCCTCCTCCCCTGCAAACCTTGAACTTTATCTAACAAGGCCTGGCTGCCTACAGGGGGTGGCATCTCAAGGTTGGGGCTGGAAGGAGAGAATGAGAAAGGAGGGGGAGAAAGGAAGAGGGAGAGAGAAGATCCATTGAAGGAGGGGTGGAGGGGTGTGGCTGTAGCCACATCACCGACTGACCCTTCTCTGAGCCCAGGTGGATCATGCCAGGTCTCTACACTACATTGGAGCTGGTGTGGCCTTCCCTGCGGGGCTGCTCTTTGTCTGCCTGCACTGTGTTCTCTCCTACCAAGGGGCCACCGCCCCCCTGGACCTGGCTGTGGCCTATCTTCGAAGTGTGCTGGCTGTCATCGCCTTCATCACCCTGGTCCTCAGTATCCTTCTATGATGGGGCAGCCAGGAACTCATCATCTAGCTCAACCTTTCTCCCTCCCAAGAGGATGGGGAGGGTGGAGGCCTAACTCTGCCATGTGGTCTGCTCCCTTTGGGGAGGTGAGGCCTGGGACTGCAGAGGGTTGTTTCCAGGTTTCCATATGTCCTACTGAACATTTCCTTAACCCCATTTCAGGTGGAGTCTTCTTTGTCCATGAGAGTTCTCAGCTGCAACATGGGGCAGCCCTGTGTGAGTGGGTGTGTGTCATCGATATCCTCATTTTCTATGGCACCTTCAGCTACGAGTTTGGGGCAGTCTCCTCAGACACATTGGTGGCTGCACTGCAACCTACCCCTGGCCGGGCCTGCAAGTCCTCCGGCAGCAGCAGCACCTCCACCCACCTCAACTGTGCCCCTGAGAGCATCGCTATGATCTAAGGTCTGGGGAGGGTGGCTGGCCCGGCCTCCGCAGCACCCCACCCTATATCTTCTTTGCATTTATTTTGTACCAAAAACAATTTTGAGAAAGTATTCTGTTGGGATCTGGGCTTCCTCACTTCTGGAGAAATGGCCATCCCACATCCACCTGTGCCATAGAGGAGTGGGCCCTGCCAGCTGCCACAGCTGCATGACCTCCTTCCCCACCCCATGGTGTCGTTTTGTTTTTAAAGGTCACCTGTCCTCACTCACCCAGCCAGCCCTTCAGGTGCCTTCTACTCCCAGTGCCAGAGCCAGACCACTGGGGTTTCCTGCTGCAGGAATTGGGGGCTGGGAACAGCAGTGGGGATAGAAGTCTGGTGGAGGTGGAGTGGGTACGCCTTAGCCTATGGAAAGGCCCATTTCTGGGCCCATTGAGCTGCACTGGGATTCTTCACTCTGCCCCTCACTTCCTTTAGGGCAAATAACACAGCAGAACCACGTGGGTATTTTAGTACTTTTTTTTATATTAAAAGAATTCTAATTTGCATGTTTGTAGTCTGTTCTGGAGAGTCGGGAAAGGGGGGACCTGATCTGGGATGGCTTTCCAAAAGCCAAGGATGGGAGAAAGCCCTTGCCCCCCAGGACAGTGCTGAGCATACTTTGCTGCCAGAAACACAGGATGGCAGGTACCATTCAAATACCTGTTGAAGGGCTTGAAACCCTTCTAGGCCTCTAAACAATCTAAAGAACTGACTTGATCTAATAATCTCACCCATCCCCCACTCAGAGTCTGGTTTGAACTTTGATTCCTTAGTAAGAGGCAGGGGTGGAAGGTGGGGGTAGTACAGAGAGCAACTTTAAAATATTAAAAGCAGCTTTCTCAATAGAGAAAAAGAAAACCTCTGGGATTCCAAAGTTAACTAGAAATTGCAGTGAGAGGAGGCTGCAGGCTAGTTTATCAGCTTTAAGTAATTAACTGGGTGCCAGACCCTGACACATTTTGCCTTCCAACCATGAACACATAGGCCCAAGCCCTGGCTGGTGCAGTAATCCACTGCCATGAGTCTAGATGGGCCAGCAGGGAAGGAAACCATGGCCTACTTCTGCGGTTTAGGACCACCTTCCCCAATAGCAGTAGAGACCTGAAGGAGGATGCAGAGCCCCTGACCAGGTCTGTGATCAATACAGCCTCAGGGTGAGTACAGAAACCTTTAATGAGGATTCAAGGTTTGTAAGGAAGACGCAGAGGGCCGGTGCTCAGCCCCAGCCTCCTCACGTGTACATGGCTCCATGGAGGTTCTCCAGTCGGTGCTGCTGCTGCTGTTTTCGAGCCTGAAGGAAAGAGGGCACACTGGGCAGGGGCCAAAACTGAAGGCCTGTGGGTGAGGGGATGGGCAACTATCAGGGGCTGGCTCTGTTTTCAGGCCTCTGGCATCTGCATTGCTGAGGCTCTTACCACAAACCAAAGTCACTAAGAAGCCAGCCAGAGCCAGGGGCCTGGTCCAGTCTTGCTGAGGTGGAAAGTGATGGCAGCACGGACAGGACTGAGGAAGCCTATTACGACCCCTCCACTTAACCATCAGCCCCTACCTTATCTCGTCTGTGCTCCTCATAGGTGTCATCATCAGTGGGCAGCTCATGGCGGCACAAGGGACAGGAATTTGTCTGAGAAAAGTAGAGTAGTGTATAGCCTTGGTCTGATCTTCATAAGCTGATAACCACCTTCCCTGCTCCCAAGTGCCTCCCTTCTTTGATCCCCCAACAGTCTGTGAACAGAAAGAATCTTGAGTACTGGGCCCAGAGCAGAGTGAGAGCTGGAAGAAGAAAAGCAGTACCTTGCTTAGCCAGGGCAGAATGCAGCTGGAATGGAAAAGGTGATGGCAAGGCATCTCAATGGCAGTCTCCTCCTCCTCAAATTCCAAAAGACACACGGGGCACTTGAGCTCTTTAGGAAGGAGTGCTGATCAGGAGAGATGCTACAGTCCCTGCCTCCCAAGCTCCCACTCCTGAAGGACACTTGCCCCACCTGGCCTGGAAAACTTAGGGACCAGACCACAGTCTGACTTGGGGAAGGGGTAGGTCTGGCCCACATAGCAGAAAATATTAGTGTCCTCACCAGCCTGAGAGCCTCTGATGACCGTCCTGGGGAGGTTCTCAACCACAGTCTTGGCAGCTGGTGGAGGCAGGTGGTGGTCCCAATCTACTACCAACCCCAAGTCTTCAAAGTCCATCCTATTGAAAAGTGACCTGGGGAAGAGGATGTAAAGTCAGAACAAAGGAAAATTATGCTTTCTCTTTGCCCCCATAATGCACTGGACAGTAACCTATAAACACCCTGCCCAGCTAGTAGGAATAATAGCTACCGTTAGTAGTTAGTAGATGCTCACTAGATAAAAAGCACGATGGGAAATAGTTTACAGCTGCTACCAGACCGCCGCAGCACGTAACTTTTTTTATTCCCATTTTATACATGAGGCAACAGTCTCAAAGAAGTTACTCAGGCCACGCAGAATAACCTTGTGGAGCCAGATTCCAAGTCGGCAGTGCCTGCTGTTCCTGATGAATATACCCACTCACAGCACACGGCCCCAACCCTGCCCCCATGCCTCACCTTCTCCGGGACCTCCCAGAGCCTGCTGTCCGTCCACCACTCTCCAGCTCGTCTTTTCCTCAATTCCCTTGCCCAGGCCGCCCAACGGACGGCCCAAATTATCGAGATGCTCATTCCCACACCCCTCAATCTCACCGCCCGGACTAACACTGCAGATTACTCATCCGTCCTCCCCAGAGTCAGCTGCCTCTGGTAATCCGCCTTCTCCAGCCAGCCCCAGCCCAGAAACCTGCTGGCTGGACCCCATCCCCAAGCCCCGCGCACCCACCTTGCGAGCTCCAGCAGCATATTGGTTCGAGTCTCCTGCTCGGGGTCTAACGGCTCGCAGTCGTGTTCGTCGAAATAGGACGCCATGGCTGCCCAGTTGTCTGACACAGCTCTCGGACCCGGCTCGATCGCGGCCTAGCGGCGCTAGCCAATAAACTGACGAGCTGAGAGAAGCTGGCCAATCAGAGTATCCGTGGGACGGGCACAGTGGCTCGTTAACGCAACAGAAAGCGGAAGTACTAATTCAACCGCCTCTCATTGGCTTAAATAGGTCAGGTGACCAGATCCTAACGCCAATGACAGAGATCTGGACTTGTGAGGAAGCATTTGTTTTGGAATCGGAGCTAAGACTCAATTTCCGGGAACTTCCGGCGTGGTCGCATCCAACTGTCTGATCTGTAAGGGTCGTCAATCCGCCCTGAGGCTCAGAGGGCTTTAACAGTGCAGATGCTAGAGACCTCTCGGAGAGAAGGCACCGCTGGCCCAGGGGTTCAGGTTCCTGCGGGCGTTGGGCCAGGGCACTTCTCGATGCGCTGTCCCGGTCCCCACCGGACGATTCTGTCCCGCGGCGCTCTAGATGGTTCAGGAGATTGCGTTTGATTCCTCCCCAACCCCCGAAAAAAAAAATTCCTGCTCATTTCTTATGTGTTAGGCGTAATAATAAAAGGTGGGGCAAGCCTCCTCAACCGAGAGAGACAGGCCCCTCTGCCGGGGAGCTGGGGCCTCAACCAGCTCATGGGACTGTTAACTTCAGCCCGTTGCTGTCCCTAGCTTCTGTAAAACTAGTGGCTTGTACTAACACCTTTTCATTCCTTCCTACACATGAATCACCTGAGGAAAGAATGGGCACGAAGGATACCTTCAAAGATTCCGATTTAACTGATCTGTGGTGGGGCCTGGGCAAAGACAGTTGTATAAATTCTACAGGTGAAGCAGGTTTAAGAACCACTGCACTGAATGATTTGGATGATAGTTCTATTTAGCATCTAGAACTGTTAGACTGATGAATGTTTTACACACCGCTCATCCCCTCAGTAGTCCCAGGAGCTAAGCATCATTATGCCTTTTTTACCTCAGAAGTGGCTTGCCCAAATTTGCAGTCTTTAAGTGGTGCTGCAGACCAACTGCAGGGCCAAGTGCTTTCCTCCATCTTTCCCAAGAGAGGTGACTCACGCCTGTAATCCCAGCACTTTGGGAGGCCAAGGCGGGCGGATCATGAGGTCAGGATTTCGAGACCAGCCTAGCCAACACAGTGAAACCCCGTCTCTACTAAAAATACAAAAAAAAAAAAAAAAAAAAGAAAGAAAGAAAGAAAAGCCGGGTGTGGTGGCAGCGCCTGTAATCCCAGCTCCTGGAGAGGCTGAGGCAGGAGAATCGCTTGAACCTGGGAGGCAGAGGTTGCAGTGAGCCAAGATCGCACCATTACGCTCCGGCCTGGGAGACAGAGCGAGACTCCGTCTCAAAAAAAGAAAAAGAAAGGCCGGGCGCGGTGGCTCAAGCCTGTAATCCCAGCACTTTGGGAGGCCGAGGTGGGTGGATCACAAGGTCAAGAGATCAAGACCATCCTGGTCAACATGGTGAAACCCCGTCTCTACTAAAACTACAAAAAATTAGCTGGGCATGGTGGCGCGTGCCTGTAGTCCTAGCTACTCAGGAGGCTGATGCAGGAGAATTGCCTGAACTCAGGAGGCGGAGGTTGCGGTGAGCCGAGATCGCGCCATTGCACTCCAGCCTGGGTAACAAGAGCGAAACTCCGTCTCAAAAAAAAAAAAAAAAAAAAAAAAAAAAAAAAAAAAAAAAAAAAGATGGTAATGAGCTCAGTGAAACTAACTCGCTCTGTAATGGGTAACACTCCACACAACTCACACTTATTCTGGTTTCTGTTAGTAGCCCTCACTCTACCCAGCAAGGAACTGCTTATGTTACACACTTGACCCTGAATTCCCCTTGCCACTCACGCTTGAGTTTAAGCTACAGTTAAGTAGCCCAGGCAGAGACTGCCCTGTTTCCACAGTGTTGGTGTGCTTTCTTTCCTTCTTCCATGCCTTTGCCCAGTGATCTTTGCTGTGGCCCTAAAGGCACTGCCTGCCTGGCCCTGAATGGCCCTGTAGCTTTGAAAAGTCTGAATTCAGGTTGGATATGTGGCTCACGCCTGTAATCCCAGTACTAAAGGCAGAAGAACTGCTTGAGCTCAGGAGTTCGAGACCAGCCTGGGTGACTTAAAGAGACCCCCTTGAAAGAGGAAGGGAGAAAAAGAGGGAGGGAAGCAGGGATGGAGATAGGAATATCAAGAAGCGCTTTAAGATCCCCCATCTCTTGGTGTCACTTCCCCATCTGCAATCTAATGTAAAGCTTGAGGTAGAATGTGGAAAGAGAAATTGGGGAGTGGGAAGTGTTCAAAGGGGAAACCATTTATCTGAAGGTGAAAGCCATATGAAAAAAATTGGGGGCCAGGTGCGGTGGCTCACACCTGTAATCCTAGCACTTTGGGAGCCTGAGGCAGGTGGGTTACCTGAGGTCAGGAGTTCAAGACCAGCTTGCCCAACATTGTGAAACCTTGTCTTTACTAAAAATCCAAAAATTAGCCGGGCGTGGTAGTGGATACTTGTAATCCCAGCTACTCAGGAGGCTGAGGCAGGAGAATCTCTTGAACCCAGGAGGTGGAGGTTGCAGTGAGCCAAGATCATGCCATTGTACTCCAGCCTGGGGAACAGAGCAAAAACTCTGTATCAAAAACAAAATTTTTATTTTATTTTTTTTATTTTATAGAGAAAAGGTTTCACCATGTTGGCCAGGCTGGTCTCAAACTCTTGACCTCAGGTGATCCACCCAAAGTGCTGGGATTACAGACGTGAGCCATCACACCCAGTCACAAAAAAATTTTTTTAAGTGCTTTCTTCTTTGTCATCCCAACTACAGTCTCATTGGTCCTCTAAGCATCCCCAAGATGACAGAAACATAATGGTTTCATTCTCAGAGAAACAGGCTCTGAGATAGGGAGGACTGGTTCCAGGGTCTGGTTTGAGGGGCATTGTGTTCTTACACCCACACTCCCTGTCTGTGTAGGGATGGATCAAGTGGGGAAAGGAGAGGAAGGAGCCATCTCCCAGGGGTGGAGTTCTTTGGGCGATGGGCTTTCTAAGCAGCCCTAGGGGTCTCTACCCTAGGACATGGGACTAACCAACCTGGAACATGGGACTAACCAAACTGGGGACCTTCACACACATATACCAGCTTTTAATCAAACAGCAGCTTTTACTAAGCTCCAGGTAGGGCTGGCCCAGCATGGCCAGTACAGCAGGTTGCCCTCAAGGGCCGGTCTGTGGCATGACAGGAAATGCAGGGGTGCACATGTTGGGGCTGCCCTTTGGCACTCACTGGGGTGGGTCAGGGGAGAGCAAACATCAAGGTTCTCTGGAGACCAGAACCAGCCAGTGCAGCCATTTGGCTTCTCTCTCAGGACCAGCTGGGTCAGTCCCCAGGCCCTGAGGCAGTGCCTGCATCCTTGGTCCGTGGGGCACTACTGCTGTCACTGCTGTGCGGGAGAAAGACCACCAACAGCACAATCAGGATGATGAGCAGGCCACCGCCCAATAGTCCCAAGAAGATCCGGAAACGGATGTTCTCCCAGCGCTTCTTCTGGGCCAGGGTCTTTGTAGTCTTGCTGAAGGCTGAGCTCTGCAGACACCCCCAGACAGAGTGGGAATTAGCTGGCACCCCCTTGGCCCAGAAGCCAGCTCCTCCCAACCCCATCTCAGTAAGGCTTAGTCTCCTCCTGCATCCTCCCCATCTTGTCTGCTCCCTTTCTGTACCATCAGAACCCTCCCAGCCTGTCCTCATCGCAAATATAAGTGTGGCCCTTGACTTTCAGCCATAGCAGCTCACCTTCAGTTAACAATGCCAGTCCTCAGGCTGGGCACAGTGGCTCATGCCTGTAATCCTAGCACTTTGGGAGGCTGAGGTGGGAGGACTGCTTGTGGTCTAGGAGTTCAAGACCAGCCTGGGCAACACAGTGAGACCTCATCTCTACAAAAAATCAAAAATTAGCTAGGCATGGTGGTGCATACTTGCAGTCTCAGCTCCTCAGGAGGCTGAGGCAGGAGGATCACCTGAACCTCAGAGGTAGAGGCTGCAGCAAATTGTGATCATGCCACTGTACTAGCCTGGGCAACAGAGTGAGACCCTGTCTCAAAGAAAAAAGGAAAACAAAAAACAATGCCAGTCTTCTACCTTTAGGAAGGTCCATAGCTTCAAACCAAGGCCTTCTTATTTTGTGGGGTCTACCTGTTGCATAACTAGGCTATGGGTGCTTGAGGAAACCCAGAGGCCCCACACTGGCCCCCAAGAAGGCCTCAGCCCCACCAAGGACCTGTAGGTCCTGAATACAGCCCAAGAGAGCCTTTGCCAAGCCTCTCCCCACCCCTCCATGCTCCCCCAGGCCTCACACCATATCCAGGAGTTGGTCTGAACGCTGCTCCAGTTCGGCCAGCTTCCCATCACGCTCCAGGACCTTGTCGAAGTTGTTAAGCATGATTTCCGTCACCTCGTTCGCCTGCTGCTGGCACCGCTCCAACTCTTTCCCTGCCTGGGCACCAAGCCCAAGGTCAGAGCTGTATGAGGCCCCCACCTGTCCCTCATCTGGCCCGGAGATCTAGAAGCCTCCTTCTCCCTCTGTAGGTGGGCACAGCATGAAAGTAACAGCATCCTTCGTGGAAGGGTATGATGTGTGCGGAGTGAAGGGCAGCACACCTTTGGTCTCACAAGCTCCTCCCCTTGCACATCAAGGCAGGGCCTAGGACCTAGGTCAGTCCTGGCTTCTAGTACCTTAACTTCCTCTAAGCTGTCCCAAGGTGGGATCTTCCCAGGACCCCATTCTCCCACAAAGCAGATTCTTTTCTCACCTGCTCCAGAATGGCCTCTACCCAATCAATGCACATCTGCCCTAAGGTTTCCCACTGGCCTAAGAAGGCAGCAAAGAATGGGTAACCAAGTTACTTGGCTAGAACACACAGGGAGGAGACCTACCCTCCAGGGCTAGAAAGGTAATTTTGAAGTAGCACACATCATAGTCTCTGCCTAACCCCTCTATCCCAAACTGAGAAGCTCAGATCTCCCCTCTTGGGCCTCTGACTGGTCAGCCCAGTTTTGCCTCTTCCCCTGATCCTGCTCCCTAGATCACTGCCAAAACTTCCCTCTCTGCCTGGGAACCTCAGTGGTACCAGCCTCTGGCCTCCAGCCTTCCGGTCAGCCAAGATTCTCACTGGGGTCTAACTCACAGAGATGAGACCAACCCTTGGATTTCCCAGCCTGGGCAGCGGCCTCACCTAACAGAAAACACCAGCTCATTTCAGAGGACTGGGAAGGGATGTGTTGGATCCAAGCTGGGGGAGGTTGAAAGGACAGAGAAGAGAGAAAGTCCGGGTCACGCGCAAGAAAGGCATTGGGCTTTGGGTGCATGTAACAGAGAGACACCCCAGGCATGAGGCCCTGGTATAAGCTGGAAGCCTAGGAGCAGGTCCAGGGACATTTCAGGGAAATGAATACCAGAGGATTAGCAAACCACAGAAACTCCTTCCTCTC